TTGAGTAAAGAATCGTCAAAATTTCCTAGCTTTCTACGTATTACTCAAGACACTCAAAGAAAGTCAGTTTAATTGAAAGGATCCAGACAAACAGCAACACAAAGGAATGGAGTTGCTGGTCCAAGTAATCCAGAGTCAAGATTTTTGAGTAACGAATCGTTAATATTTCCTGCCTTCATACGTATTACTCAAGGTACTCAAGGAATACCAGTTGAATTGAACAGGTCTAGATAAACAGCAACGCGAAGAAATAGAGATGCTGGTCCAAATAATACAGATTCAAGATTTTTGAGTAACGAATCGTTAAAATTTCCTGCCTTCCTACGTATTACTCAAAGAAATCAAGGAATACCAGATGAACTGAATGGATGCAGATAAATAGCAACACGAAGGAATGGCGTTGCTGGTCCAAGTAACCCACAGTCAAGAGTTTTGAGTAACGAATCATCAAAATTTCCTAGCTTCTTACGTATTACTCAAGGTATTGACCAAAAGCCAGTTGAATTGAGGGAATCCAAATAAACAGCAACGCGAAGAAATAGAGATGCTGGTCCAAATAATACAGATTCAAGATTTTTGAGTAAAGAATCGTCAAAATTTCCTAGCTTTCTACGTATTACTCAAGACACTCAAAGAAAGTCAGTTTAATTGAAAGGATCCAGACAAACAGCAACACAAAGGAATGGAGTTGCTGGTCCAAGTAATCCAGAGTCAAGATTTTTGAGTAACGAATCGTTAATATTTCCTGCCTTCATACGTATTACTCAAGGTACTCAAGGAATACCAGTTGAATTGAACAGGTCTAGATAAACAGCAACGCGAAGGAATGGCGTTGCTGGTCCAAGTAATCCAGAGTCAAGATTTTTGAGTAACGAATCGTTAAAATTTCCTGCCTTCCTACGTATTACTCAAGGTACTCAAGGAATACCAGTTGAATTGAACAGGTCTAGATAAACAGCAACGCGAAGGAATGGCGTTGCTGGTCCAAGTAACCCAGAGTCAAGATTTTTGAGTAACGAATCGTTAAAATTTCCTGCCTTCCTACGTATTACTCAAAGAAATCAAGGAATACCAGATGAACTGAATGGATCCAGATAAATAGCAACACGAAGGAACGTCGTTGCTGGTCCAAGTAATCCAGAGTCAAGATTTTTGAGTAACAAATCGTTAAAATTTCCTGCCTTCCTACGTATTACTCAAGGTACTCAAGGAATACCAGTTGAATTGAACAGGTCTAGATAAACAGCAACGCGAAGGAATGGCGTTGCTGGTCCAAGTAACCCAGAGTCAAGATTTTTGAGTAACGAATCGTTAAAATTTCCTGCCTTCCTACGTATTACTCAAAGAAATCAAGGAATACCAGATGAACTGAATGGATCCAGATAAATAGCAACACGAAGGAACGTCGTTGCTGGTCCAAGTAATCCAGAGTCAAGACTTTTGAGTAACGAATCGTAAAATTTCGTGAATTTCAGGTTCGGTCCGAGGCATCGATGAAAAGTCTGTCAGCAGAAACGAACGTAGATCGATAGCAACGTGCAGAAACGCCGCTGGCATCGCGCCCTTGCTCGTAATACGCTGGAGTAGAGCGTTTCGATCCGGCTTGTCCTAACGCGACATTCGACGCGACCAAGGTTCGGCCGTCACGTAGCAGGTAATATGCAAATGACATATCGTCACGGTGAAATTTATTCATGGACGCGACTGCCCGCAGCTGTGGCTTCCAAGTTCCCCGTCGACCCCCCAAAATTGTCGTAATGAACTTACACGTTCGTGCAAAACTTGCACTCTCCGCGATCTCGTCCCAAATTTCCGTCTTCGCAAATTTCGTTGTCGCTCTAGGTTCCGAATAGTTCCTCCGGGCGAGGAAGATTTTTGGACCTCGAAGCATTTCGACCGACACGTGTTTACGAAGAATATTTTTCGTCTACGAACGGAGAGTTGTAAATTTAAAATTGCAATTAGGACATAGGGAGAAGACCAACAGAAGACGAAAGCTAAAGTAAACGTAGAATTTGGAAATTTCGTTGGAAATTTAACTCCAAACCAGACACCTTACCAAACTCGCGTCGGTAAACTTAGAATTGCAGATGTTGGAAGTAATAATGCATAGCAATAGGATGACCGATCCATTAAAGATGCTCAGACGTAACTGCTTCCTATGAACGTAAATTATCCCCGGATTCTCGGTCTGTCGGGCACAGACGTGTTCGAGAATATCCTGCACCGAAGATCAAACGATTCTGATCTATCAAGATTACAATGTCATTCGCCAGCACTTTAATTATACACAAAAATGATAAATCTGGATTCAATGACAATTAGGTCCTGGTTACTGTCCAACTTTGAATTCACTCGTATAACAGACCACACGAAATCCACCCACAATAAATTCAATTTCCAATTCCAGAAATCCTACGCGTCTGACTAATACGTCTCATAATAACGCGGCTAATCGAACTAGATTTAACTTCCAAAACGTCATTATACAATATGCTACGCTGCACGTAGAAATAAGATAGGGGTAGATTAGAGACAATGAAATTGGAATAAAAATTCATGTAAACACGTATCCAATATGATCTTGCTTTCGAATCATAGTCGTAATATACCTTCAGTCGTATATTAATTTACTGTGGTAAAATAATTAATTTAATCATGGTGTTTACAAACCCGTAGCCCGTTTGATCTCGTGACGTTTAAGTAGTATAAAAATATTATAAGCCGACAGTAAATTTTTGCAACACGAAGTATGCTCGAACTTGAACGCAAGATCATATGGGGTAGATGTTTGTATGTCCTGCAAATATCTTCATCTAACATTTAAACATTTGCGGACAATTTTTCTTATTTCTAGTGCCAGGAATCCACCCCTATCTATCTTTCCAAGTATAACACGCTACAGTGTATAATTATCATGGTGGGTCATATAATTATCAATTAACATGATACTTCGATGAAAACGCAAGAGCAATTGACCCCCTGCGAACAGCAGCCCAAGTATTTTTATTCTCCTTACCACATAGATAAATAATTTTACAATTTCGAATGTATTTCTGCGTTTCGACGAATTAAAAGAAACGATACCTAAAAACCCACAAACTAGCCTAAATTTTTTTCCTCCCTCTACCGAATTTTCTGAGATAAAGCTAGGTTCTTCCACGCAACTCCATGTCGTTCGGAAAAAGTTATCTCTCGGACACATCGGACACGGGTATTTTTCCATAACGAGCTATCGGCGCGAAATCCATCTGGCCGTTCGTGGAATCATTAGCCGACTTGTTTTCTCCGCAGGTTATTTTCCCGAGAAGGCAACCCCGAAGACACGCGACGACAATTAGAATGCGTCGATGTGCCGATAAAAAGCAAATCGAACCCGCGATCCGACACGGCCGACGCGGACAACACGCTTTTGGCATCGGGCGCGACACGCTCGGCTGTTGGCTCGCCGCTTGAAATCCGATATTTTTTTGGCTAGCAAGCTCGTTTGTTTTATCCCCGCGCGTGGATCGCGCGTCAAAGGATGAGAGATTGCGCCATGTTACTACATTCTATCGCAATTACGAGTCCGCGAAGGATTTTCGTTCCTTGTAAACACGCCTTCTTTCGGGCCCCTCTGAGCACGCGAATACGCGCGTGTTCACGAGGAACTGAGACGCGTGTCATTTTAATTTAAATCCCTTGATGACCTCGAATTTACGGTGGACAAGTATCTTCGAAATACCGTGAGCTTTTTGAGTTATTACCTCTTAATAGTGGTGTATATTAACGAATGACAGGCCTTTCTATGTAAAACCGAAATTCAACCCTCAAAGGGGTTGCTGAGAAGATAAGAAATAGATAAACTAAAAAATTGACACCAACTTTCAAACGAAAGAAAGACACAGTACATCCCTGGGTAAATATACAGGGTGTCCCAACACGTGAACTTTTGCAGTTATTACCTCGTAACACACGGTGTATACTAACGAATAACAGGCCTTTCTATTTAAAACCGAAATTCAACCCTCAAAGGGGTTGCTGAGAAGATAAGAAATAGATAAACTAAAAAATTGACACTAACTTTCAAACGAAAGAAAGACACAGAACATCCCTGGATAAATATACAGGCTGTCCCAACACCGGTGGAATAACCAAGATCGAGAAAACCAACTTTGAATATTCACCGAGTACTTAACTCTGCACTTGACTCTAACTCAAACGAATGGATCTCGGTATACCGGCTTACTAGGACACTCTGGGACACTATAAATAAAATAAAACGAAATAAAGGGAGAAAAAAATTTCGAGATTTCGAATAAATTGCAAATTCGAAATAAAATAATTTTCATAAATCAATCGCGGGGGGGGCGAATATGTAAAGGGCCACGCGTGTAAATAGACTGGAGACAACGCGCACGAGGCAGGGAAATACAGAACGACTCAAGGTTTCAATCAGAACATTAAGTTGTAGCTTCCACTTCTGCAAAGGCGTGTTGATTACCGTGCACCGTGTCCCCAGGAAACAATGCGGACATTTTATAGCCGGTGTACAACTAGCACAGTCCCCTTATACTTGCCGGGAACAATGGGTATTATGTAGCGTGGCGCACGCACGGAAATGGCCTCCCCCGGACTTGTTCGAACTAGTTGTAACTCACTGTTCAACTGTGCCCGTTGACGAGCAGCGCAACAATTACGCTAATGCATTGTCCTCGGTTCCTTCGCCTAACGACTCTAAACGATCGACGCCCCGCGCCCTTTCGACCGTTTCAATTAAAGGCGACTCGGAAACAGGGGGTTGTTGCGCTGAAACGCGCGCCACGATTTCGGATCCCGTGCACTCGCGACCCGTGGACCCTTGATTTATCGCGACACGATTCGTCGAAGGTTAATCGGTTAAGTGGATGCCCGAAGAGACCTTAACGTCTCGCTACCACCGTTCTGACTTTCAGCAAAACCGAGTGGAAGGGATGGTACCGAAGCGAGATTTATCGGGAAGCAGAGATTACTGCCGAGATTTAATGCTCGCTTAGGGGAGCAGGAATTTCCGCTGCATTTTCTTCCGCGAAATTTTTACAACCATCCTCCATTCTTCTCTCAATTCTTATATCTATTTTTCAGATTAAAATTCTACGATTAATGCACTGCTTGTTCTAACTGGAATTTCCTTCGCACGACACGACGCACTGCGGTAATTATAAAAATGAAGGGAAAAATGATGAATTATTCGCGACAGAGTTTCATGCCAGGAATGATGAGGGAACTATCGAAGCGAAGAAAACAACGCGATATTATCTCCATTTTATAGTCATCGATTCCCATAGGAAAGAAATACTCGGTAACGAGGTTTATCGCTCCAAGTAGAACGAGTACGGCAGTAGTCAGACAGCGCGCTCAACTGCTCCCGCGATAAAAGTAGAATCGGAAAAGACACTCACCCGTATCGTTGTCTCCTGGAACACCAAGACTATCGCTATTGTCATTGATGAAGGCCTCCGCCGTCGACGTGAAGGTCTGAGGTGATAGTGTGAGGTCCGGCCCGCTCTCACTATCGAACAGTTCTAAATTCCCGTTACCTGTAACACACAGAGGAAAACATAATTAGTATACTCACATTTCGCAATAATATTTTCAACAAATTACAATTTTGTTACATTTTATTCCTCCTTTATCGAGGAACGCAAAATTCTGGAAAATATATCTCCTATATATAATTACTTCTGGGAAACACTGGAAAAATATCGTTGACAAAAATCGCGTTGTTTAATTAATATCCAACTATTACAGTCGCATGATTTCCCCGAATTCAGCAGCGAAAATTGCTCGAATCAGCGCCAAGAGACGAGGTTAATGAATCGAGGCGAAAAATTGGTAGGAGCAGCTGCACGTGGACCAAAGATCATTCTCTTGATTTCCGCGAGCACGCGCGCTCCCACCCCCGTTCTTATGGCCAAGCAACACGCAAAAACGAAATCATGCTCGTCGTTGATTCCGCTCGATGCCAGCTTGCTCGACCTCGAGGTTGGCAAACGGTGCTGACAGATGGACAAGATTCTTCGCGTGTTACGAACAGCAAAGCTCAAAAATAATTGGCTTCGTTTCTTACGATATGATCCACTCTGACCCGCGGATCTTTGTCTACAATTATCGCGAAAATATTGTCCTTCTCTGTAGAGAAATTCATCGTGCCCTGTCAAATTTTTAAGAGTAATTACGAATACGAAAAGAAAAATTCCTTACTTCCCCTGCAAAATATTCTCACCAGAGATATTAAAATATAATGTCTCTATTGTAATATCTATAATATATATGATACCTCTGATATCTTTATAATTTAATAAGAAAATATAAAACTAAAAATTTTTCGCAACTTCTGATCGATTTCTGCAAAATAATTCATACCGGTTCACTGACTCCAACCTTCTCTTTAATTCGCTAATAAATCCTTGATCGAGTATCGTCTTTTTAAAAATCCGAATTATACCTTCCAATTTGCTGCTATAAACGATCGTTTTTCGATGAAAGAAAAATCTCGCAGTTTGTGGAAAAAGTGGAAGAAAAATTCGTCGCGAGGGTCGAGCGAGACCATCGAACTCGGAAAGGAAAAATTGGCGAAGATTCATAATATAATCGTAACACGGTTGAGCGAGTTGATCGATCGTTTTCGTTATCAGCGTAGGACGAGAGGGGTTGAAGTTAGGCAAAACAGGGGCTGGGAGGGTTAAACGAGAACTCCTCGGGTATGAGACGAGTGTCGCTTTCGCATATTCCTCGGCGCACTGACAACAACGCTGAAGCACTCTTACGAGAACTAGCAGCCAGTGGAGGATCTCTCGAGACCTTAGGTGGCCTTCGCGATCCGAGGACAACTGCTGCCAAGTGGCAGCAAACTTTGACTGTGGATTTTAGGTTACGAAGCTCGTCGCGCTAAGCGACCTAAACTCCGTCTCTCCGCTTGTCAGACCCTCGTTACGACCGTCTCGGTTCACTCGATTATATCGCGTCGTCGACCGGTTCTCGAAGATCGTGTTTTCGTTGCTGCCTCGCGAGAAGAATAAGAAACGATTCTGTTCGATTCCGTTGGATCGTTTCGTTCTCGGAAACCTATTCGACCCGAAGAAGGACACCCCATTCCACGAATACGACGCAAAAGGCGAGAGTGACAGACGTGTATGGAACTCTGATTCGAGCTGACGAATCGCCGGCTCTATATCGACCTATTCTACTGAGAGAAATTGAAAAGTAAGTCTTGTCAGAATGATCGTCGGCTTCCGCGTTGGTACCCTAATCTTGGCTCCTGTCTCAAGTTTGGAATACCAATTGTTACTTCGTGCAATCCTTGTCCAAATCCAAAATCCCAAATCCTAATCCGTGAAAACTAATATCCGCGTATATCTTCCTCTAATCTCTGTCAAAAGACGAAGTGATCTAAAAGTGCTTCAAGCTTCTGAGCTTCTAAAAGTCTTGACAGCATTCTCGTATTATTTTGTATCATCGCTGGATTTCATTCATGGTTTTGTTTCACGAGAATGAGTACTCATACGTAGAAACACATCCGAGTCTTGAGGAGTTAATATTTTGTCACAACGACCTCGCGCGACCCTAGAAGTTGTCGTCACGTTAGAGTATAAAATCAGATTGGAAGAGATAGAATTAGAAAAAGAGGGTCTGGTGACGCGTTAATCCGAGGATCACGGGCTCCAACTTCCTCTTTTCTAAAGACCTTCCACGATGTTAGAAGCTCAGAACTGGGACACGTTGCCAACATGGAAGCAGGACTGGCGACGACAGCGGAGACCGCAGTCTTGGTCGACTTGGATCCCAAGTACTACGGAGTTTTCAGGCGTATTCATTCTCGCTTGGACTTCTCGTGATTTATGGTTAGCAGATGAACGGGAAGATACGCAGAAACGCGACGTCGAGAGGTAAAGACCGAGAAATTAACGATGTCTAAAACGCCGATGGAAATTAAGCAATTTGGAAGGCTTTTAAAAAATTCCAGGCTGCAAATCCGACTGTCTGACAGTGTGCTCGCGCGAGATAAATGTTTTAATGCGCGCAACCGTGCAGGCAGAGATACGTGAAATATTCGAAGACGAAAAATACAGGAATTCGGCGAGTTTCGTCCGCGCGATTATACGTTTCACGTAGGTATACGTGTACACACAAGGCATCGCACACCATATTCGTCCGCTTCGACATCGGCCATGTACACGATTCGCGTCGTAGAGGAGCGTTCGTGTTAATTCAAAGCGACGGTATGCATCTCGCGGCGGATTAACATATTCCAGATTATCCGTCCGCGTTTGCGTTAATGCTTGCGCCGTTGGGTTAGTTAAATATGTAAATATAAGCGGGCCAGCCATGCTGGACGTTATCCGCGCTTACGAGAGATCGATGAATCACACGCGAGCACACAGGACGCGACGCGAAACGCACACGCGAGGGGGGACTTGAACGAGATTCAGGAAGAAGCGTGAAAAAATTTCGCGGCAGGAATAAATCATTGGAAATGCGTGTTATAACCCCGCGATTGATTTATAATTTATCACGCGAGTAATACGGTTAGTACGTAAATTACGAGGCTCCCCTGATTCAGCCCCGGGATTGAACGGATATCTACTTTTTGAAATATTTGTAGGAACGCATCCGTGGATTTTGTTTCCACTCTTAGCGACATCGAGGGTCCCGAGACAATGGGGGGTTTATGCTTTTGCGACCAGCATCCCATCACGACTGGTAGACACGAGGACCACGACGCGTGGGCTTAGGGGTGGAAAAAATCAGTTCGTTGGCGTTACGTGGTGCATATGGAGTATTCTGCCTCGGCATAGCTAGATGAGCTGCGAGGTTGGTATTTCTAAGGTTTATATCTAGGAATATTGGGGGGGCAATGAAACAATGTTCTTTTAAATCTTAATTTCGTGCATGCTCAATAGCCAAAAGATGTGTTATAAAACTCGGTAATTCTGAAGGATGCTTCGGACCTGGAAGAAGATCGTAACCTTTAGGCAAAACCAGTGACCTAACACCTGCCGAGGTATCGTCGCACCCTTACCAAAAGAAGGCGCGCCAAGGGTACATGGAAAGGTGGTCAGAAATTAATATTTCTCGAAATAACTTCAACGCGACGTAACAAATGGCGACCAGAGAGCGTTATAGACCTTTTCCTAAGAGTAACACCGTTTTCTCTGCACCAGCACCCCCCCCCCCCCCGCACAATAAAACTCGTCGAAACCCGAAATACTCCATTTCGTTCATTGATACCTCAAGATATCCTTGATATTTAATTTTTTAACATCCATTTCTACGGGATATTTCGAAATATTCTCCCTTCGGTTAGAAAATATCGTACAAATAACGCGTTTAATATCATTTAATCCCGGAAGGCCCATGTTTAATTTCTTTTCGCCGAATTTAACTAGCAAAAAGAAGCTTGGGAAAGCACAAGGATTTGAAGCAGAGAAGCGAACACTGCTAACTCAATTCCCAATTACTCAGCCTAGCTGGCTACAGCGAGTACGTGGATCTTGGAAAAACGACGAGCAGGAGAGTGGAAGCGAAGCCGCAGGAGACTCGAACAGGGAATAAAAAGAACATACGCGGTGGATGATGAGCAGAGCAGTGGGAGAATCGGGATTGCCGAGGAAACAAAAGGGTGGAGTGGCGGCGATCCGGAATTAAAGCTCCGTCGCGAAGTTATTAACAAACGCGACCGCTTTATCCCGACCTGGTCCGATCGGCGGGCCGTGGAACGAGGAGGAACGGGGAAGCAGGAGCGCGAGGGCGTTCGAAGACAAGGGGTTGATGATGGCGGTCGGAAGAACGGCGAGGCGGCGTGGGTGCGGCACGAAGGAGAAGGCGGTACTAGAAGGAAGCGACCGCACAACCGAGTTTATTCAACGCGCGAACGAAGCCCAGATATTAATTTTCTCGATGTATATGGATGAGTTCCGACTGGGCCACGGGGTGTTCAGCCCAGCAGCGAGAGGAGTGGCGAAAGAGAGAGGGGTAGAAAAGGTGGAAGCAGCGACGGTAGCCGTGACGATGCCTCTGCAGCTTGCCGGAGGTGGACCTAGGAAGGTACATAGATGTAGCGGCGGGAAGAGGTCGTACAGAATGGAGAGGGGTGGTTAAATTGCTATCGATCCCCCCAAGCTTCGCAAATATCGTTTACCTTACCCTTGCAACCCTTCTAAAATCCCATCCACGCTCTCTCGCCGTCCGCCATCGCGCCGCGTCCTCGCTTCCAGCACGATTTCGTTTCACGTATCGTTCTGCCGGTGTCGCTGGCTTTTTATGGAAAGTCAATGCCGACCCGAATCGTGCAAGTTCTCGCGGATGGCTTTTTGACGAGCTTCCTCCTCTGCTTTGTCTTTCAAATTCCTCTGGATATTCCAGCCCCGGTTCGGCCAGGTTCCCCGGTTTAAATTCGGGTTATCAGGCAGAGGATATTAGATCGTTCGGTTTAGTACTTAGACTCTGCTCGTGGGAGTCCCTTTTTATATTCCTCCCGGATGGAAAGGTTCGAGCCCTATCCCAGACGCGATGACAGAGGGCTGAATCGCGAAATGGA